CAGAGACGAGGTTAGATCAATAGTTGGTGAGAGATATTACCGTTGGTAAGTCCTGCATTCATAATTAATAGATGTGTTAATAGATGTGTATCATTTAGGATTTTGAAGTTTGAAAATGAATAAATTAGAAACATTTCTCAGTGTAATGCAGTCCAGTAACACCACCTTTAACTATGACCTCAGTAATAAACATATAAATGATTTTAAACATTTCCAACACTGTCACCATGCGCTGAACATTATGAGCTTCAAAAAGATAGATGTTATTTTATGGGATTATATTCGATTATTATACAGGTGTACCCAATAAAGTGGACACTGAGTGTATCTGGTGTGTAAAATCTTACACAATCTGGAAAGTAACTAGTAGCTGTGACTGTAAAATCAAATATGGTGGAGTAGACTGTACAATCTTTCCCTCTTAAAGTAGAGCAGAAGGATGAAATAGGATTTGGTGGAATTGTTCCATTAAGTACAGGTACCGCCATCACTGGATGAGAGCAGAGAAATAAGAAGTGTACGTAGTGAAACAAATAACAGAGTGAAAGACAAAGAACAGATACAGAAACGAAAGCACAGAGAGCGCAGCAGCATGTGATGTCTTCTGTTCCCTCAAAGAGAATCGATGAAGCAACAGAGCAGTGCTAGTGGTCCCCATAGACTTCATTATAGGTGGGAGTTAATGTACAGCATCTCTGAAGATGCTGCTCATTCTGCAGAAGCATCATTATACTGCATGTGACGCTGCTCTGTAACGTTACTGGATGAGAACATCTTCCTGACATTAGATCATACTTTAAAGGCCTTTGAAGCTGTCTACCCTGAGACACAAAGATCATTACAGCAAACTGATCATCAAATGAAGATGTTAATAAACACAAACAACAAAGTGTGAGCATGTGCGGTGATTCTTTTTCTCGTATGGAAAACTGGTTACAATCAGAATTTCAGAGAAGATACGATAAAATGTATTCTAAATTAGCGTTGGTCTTGGGAGAACTGAAAGTGTGTTGATGACAATCAAAGATCGATCAATCAAGATGAATAAACTCTCACATCCGACCATCACAGCTGGCAGTATAGCTTTTTGAGGGCTCTATTGGCAGAAATGGAATATAATATTCATAACTATATGTTTTCATGAAAGTATACTCGCCCGAAACTAAGAATCGTTGTGTTTTCATCAGTTTAGAATGCCATGCAATGTTGCATCGCCATGTTTCATGGCCCAGGATGCTCAAACCAAACGCTGACTCTAGTGAGAGCCTTTTGCATTGCTCATGTTACCTGAAGGCCGCTGCAGTTCTCCGACGCGCTTGTGAAACTGCGGCAAAGTGCAAATCTGTGGTACCACCAGATTACCACCAAATCCTACACACTGTCCCTTTAAATATTACATGAGTTTTCAGTTGCCCCCCCC